GAGAAATGTGTTTACAATACTTCAAGAGCACCTATGGAAACATGAGCACTTACCTGTCAAAAAAGCTTCAGAGGCTAGCTACCACACCTCCACAATCAAACAGGATAGTGGAAAACTTTTTATAATTTTGCAATCTGTTCCAAACCTCAGATTAGCTGGACAACACCAGCCCAGTCCTGTTCTTTGTTCTCTTCTCTTCTAAGCCTTTAGACACCCTAGAATCTATTGGTTAAACGGTCTACACTGATCTTTTTAAAATGTAAAGGATAGAAAATAGAAAAGTAGACACTAGGTAATGAAAGCACTATTCACTCTTTATGGTCTTTGATTAATTGTTTTTGATGGAGAAACAAATTTTCATTTGTACCAAAGCGTGGCTGACAAAAATCTTACCAAACATTGGTTCAAAAAAGAAGAAGAATCTGGAAGTCAGGGCACAGGTGAGAGCCGCTGCAGTATTCTCTGCCGCTGCCTGCCGTCAAAGAGGGTCAGGGAACTCTACTTTATTTCAAAACTTACTACTTCAAAAGAGATCAGGGAACATCAGAGCAATTTCCTTTAACATTTCCTGAACCCGTGTAACAGCCTCAATTCTTGAATTCTTGGCATTTTGCAGTAAAACCCCTTAAGTCTTTAAGAAGGGCCAATTTGTACACAGGGCAGTAAGGCAGGAGGGAGCTGCTTAAATCTAGCTGCATCCTGCTCACCTGCTGCATCCCCACAGTCCTGTGTGGGGAGCGGAATGGCCTGGGGGGGCACCCAGAGGAGAAAAAGGGTGGTTGGCTGGACAGGGTGTACCCCCCAATGACTGGCAAACAAGATCAGGGTTGGGACTCATGGTGCAGCAGTCACCACCTGGCGGGCCCCCTTGTCATTGAGAAGCCTTGTCCAGAGTGTTCATCTTGGTCAGCCCACATCTGGGTGCTCTGTGCCCCTCTTTGAATTTGGGGTTCTCCACATTTAACTCAGCCATTTGTACCCAGGCCAGCCGGGAGTTAGAGATCCTTTCTTTGGTGGCAAAGGAGGAACCAAAGCTCAGTGAGATCACATAACACACGGACAGCCACCCACAAGGAAGGGATTCCAGGCTGGAGTGCCTGACCCAGAGCTGGGCTCTCCACCCTGCCATCCACACCGGTTTTCCTTTCATTCCCTGAGCTCCAGCTGTGGCTTGGGTGAGCACCACACCATGGAGCATGCACTCAGCTGTTTTCTCCTCTCTTCCTGGGAACGATTCCAATCTCCTAACAACTAGATGCTTGGAGGTCTGGGCCAGGTCTTTAGGTATTCTCAGGCCTGAAGGCTCTCATAGGAGGCACTATGTGAATATGTGCTATCGATTGGCCCCTCCTTCAACTCTGCAGGGTAACCCCTTGTAAAGACAGACGTCATGAATCCAGGAGCCCACGGAAGTCAGCCAGAGCTGGGCCGGCTACAAGAAGTGAGGTCAAGGGTCAGAAGGAATTAACAGGGGTTCTGTGGGCAAACAGAACCTTTTTACTTTTCTCCATAGTCTCCCTCTCAGTCATGAACCCAAAATAGCCCAACTAAACAACTGAATGTCTTTCTCCTTAAGGTTGTGCTATTAATATATGATATTACCATTACATGTTACATACTATTAGTACATACTTATATATTATATGTATACTATATATACATTATTATATACTACATATACTATTATATATTATATATTATTACTATTTTATTTATTATTTGTATTACTATATAGTATATAATAGTAATATATAGTATATAATACTAACAGTACATACTATAATATGTAATTATATAATATGTATAATATATACTAATAGCGTGTACTTAGTATATGTTAATGCTACATATTATATACTATACATTCATTCAACCTACATAATTACATATATATAATATTATGTGTTACATAACTATATCATAGTAGGCGTGTGCTATACTAACTCTCATGGGGTTTAACAAAGGTGGCGGTCAACATGTATTCTGTGCCAAAGACCTGGTCACAGTCCTGGTTACGAGAGCCATAACGCCACCTGCAGATGGATTTACAGGAAGAGACCACCCCGGGCCTGACAAGGCTGCTGTAAATATGGCCCAGGGTGCGCCATTATGTTGCTCTCTTCCAGGCTCAGTAATGGCTCAGAGAGAGGGCACCTTTCCACCACCAGCTACTCAAGAAAAAGCATGCTGAGTTGACATCTACAGGGCAGGAGACATGTCTGGGAGGTCCACCTGGGAACACACTCCAGGCTGGATGATGACAGACACAGTCATCCTGAACAGGCAGCTCTCAAGTATCAGAGTGTGGCTTATCCACTTTGCAGATATTACTCAGTATCCCCTCCTGCTCAGTTCACATGATTCAGAGTTTCCATGGACTGCCTGTTGCTGTACTGTGTGCAAAATAATTTTCATATTAACCTTATCCAAAAATTCAGGAAATTAAACCAGTTACAAAAAACACAAACCTATGACAACTTCCATGGCCAAGCAGAAATCATCTGCAGGATCTCAATGTTTGAATCACCACCTTTGGTCCTCCTGGAGGGCCAAGCACGTACTACTTCCAGCTGCAGTACTTTTATTTCAACTTGGAGTTGAAAAGGCCCCTAGGAATCTTCTGATACAATGGTTTTTCCAGTTTTATCTTTGTGGGAGGGCCTTTTCTTCAAAGGAAATCCTACCTGGAAGCCAGCCTATAACTCAGATTAACCCCAGCTGTTGGAGTGAGGGACCCATGGCCTGCCTTACAGGTTTGTTCCTCCCTCAAAAGCTCTTAGGAACACAGTTTGAAAAGCTTGCCGCCATTCCCTGTTTATTAAGTTACTTGCTTGCTCTCTGACATAATCTTCTTTGAGTACCTACTGTGTTCCGGGTGTAGGTGAGCCAGGAGGTAAGAAGGCCAGGGGAGGGCCCTGCTTTTCCAAATCTTCCAGTATGGCTGGAGATAGCAGAGCTAAGTTCAGATGATGGCAAGTACTATGAAAGATCAGATCAAGGCAATGAGCTTGTGGCCCAGGAGGAAGCTCCTTCAAACAGGGGATGGAGGAATGACCTCTCTGGAGAAGTGAAACAGGAGCTGAGGGCAGAACAAAAATCTGGACAGATGCCCTGATTTTGATCACTGAGGAAGCAGACCTAAAGAGGTAAAGTGACTCTCCCCGGGTACACCAAGCAAGTTGGAAGCAAAGTCAGGACTTGACCCTGGGTTCCAGGCCCCCTGGCCAAAGGCTTTTCCTTCCCAGTGTTTATTAAACAGCCACCAAATGCAAATGAGGCACTGTGACAAGGGACATCCAAGTGCCCACCACACCCCAACCATAGCTTGGCTGCCTGTCATGACTCTCGGCATCCTCTCAGCCCTCCTCAGCCGATTTGGGCCTGGCTCTGTACCCCAGAAGACAGCACCATGCAGTTGACATCCCACACCCATGACAATGCTTGGGGAAGCTTCCTCCTCCCCTATCTCCCTGGCTTCTTTCCAACTGTGGCGAGTGCTCATTACTGCTCCTGCTGGTGGCTTGAAGATAAAAGCAAAATGGTGGCTCACCCGGAGGAAGGCTCTCGGAAAAGTCCAGCTGCTCTAGGGTTACACAACAGAAAGGCCAGTCAAGCCAGTTTTCCTCCTGGGCTGTAGAAGGCTTTCACACAAAACCTGCACCACACAGGTCTGGGAGTATCTCACACACCAGGAGTCCAAAGCTGGGCTCTAGGCACATGCTGCTCTGATGCTGAGTATCGGCAACCCCCAACCAAAGAGCTCCAGGCCCTCAAAGTGTTCCCCAAGCCTCTGACTTGGACTCAGCCCCATGAGCCCAGCATTTGCCTTTCACCCTTGGAGCCTAAGGCTGTCCCAGCACTTTCTCAGGCATTAGTCATTTTGAGCCTCCAGGTACCTCCTGAGGGAGGCAGGACAGCAGTTCTGTAAGTCCCATTTTGCACACAAAGCAACTGAGCCCCTGAGAAACCTCTGCAGGGAACATCACTAGTAATATAGGTAACAACCACTGATTCTGATTCAAACCCGGGGCTCCAGACTCCAAAGGTAGCTATCATCCAGCTGCTCACAAATTAAATACGGAGTATCCATCCTGGCCTAATACCACACTCATTCTCATCCCACCCTTCCACCTACATCTTATGCCTTGGAGTGTATTTACCAGTGTTTCCAGATGCTGTCTCTTCTCTGTGCCACCCCTGCCTCCTAATGTTTGCCCACACCCTGGAGAGATCTGTAGCAATTCAGACCCAAGGTGAGATGCTCTACTGCCCAACCCAATTGACCCCTCCTCCCTTCCATATTTTTCAGCCAGTTCACGCTTGTCAACACTGCACATACCACTGGGAAGACAATACACCCTACAACCATCCACATCTTCCTTCTTCCCATACCAAAGCAGCCAACTGCACCTGCAGGAGTGGACAGGCAAACACAGGTGACAGGGCCTGCCCAGCCGTGTCCTCACAATACACAGATGGGCCCCCATGGGATTCACGGGACCTGCCGGGCAGGCAGGCCTGCGGGCGCATTAGCCACACCAGCCGCCAGCATTTAGCAAACTCTCTTTGGCAGGGGGTGCTGAGCCAAAGTCCATCACAATTCTAGCTAGAATTACTCTGGACTGGCCACCCGGGCCTTGGGCCTAAGAGCCAGCTCCTAGAATTCAGGTGGACAAAGAGAATGACATTTTGAAGAGACAGGCCCTGGGCACGCTGGGCTGCGCGGCCCTCGGAGGCCCGGGGCTCTCTCCGAGCGAAGGCCCCGCGCGCAGAAGGGCGGACCCGAGAGCAGAAGCGGGGAGACCAACGCCGCGGCCGCCCTGCGGGACCCGGGCCCGGCCGCCCGCCCCCGTCCGCAGCCAGAGGCCCCGCCACTGACCGGCTCTGAACCCGCGGCCGCGGCGCGCGGAGGGAGCTGGGCCCCCGCCCGGCCCCCCCGCCCGGCCCCGCCCGGCCCGGCCCTCCGAGCCCCGCGCGCCCCCCGCCCCGCCCGCACTTACCGGGCTCCGCACGCAGCGACGGGAGCCGGAGCCTCGGGGCGCTCGCTGGGCACCCCGCCGCGCTCCGGCCGTCCCACCCCGGAGGTCGGGCTGCCGGGGGCCCCCGGGCACTTCCTGCCGGCCCGCCCCGCCCCGCGCCGCGCCGCGCCGCGCCCCGAGCGCCCACCCTCCCGGCGCGCCCCCTCCGAGTCCCGGGCTCGGGGCCTCGCACCCCTCCGAGTCCGGGGCTCGGGGCCTCGCAGCCGGCGGCGTCGCCGGGAAGCCCCAGCCGGGCCGCGTCTTTGTTCGGGAGCTCGCCCCGCTCCCACCCGGAGCTCCCAGAGCCAGGACGTGGGAGTGAGGGGCCGCTGTGCTTGCCCGGGATCCCCGCGGGCCGGGGAGCGGCGGCTCGCACAGCTCCAGTCGGCCCGGCCGCAAATCCTCCCCCTCCCCGCCCCCGGGGCCTCCGTCAGGTCTGGCTTGACCCTGGGTGGGTCGGCGGCTTAGGTCCGGGAGAAAATGGCCCGTGGGGGCTTCCAGAGACTCTAGGGACAAGCCACTCGGATCCCAGCGAGCCGCCCCTCGCCCTCTGCCTATCCCCTGTGCATAAGAAGACTCCCCTCACTGCCCTGTCCCTTCCGAGCGCCCTGTGGACCATGGGCTCGGCTTTATGTTTCCTGGGCCCAGGGAGCATCAAAACCTCTTCCTAGACTGGAGAAAAGCAGAAGAGTAAACACAGAGCCCAGGCTGTGCCCTGGCTGAGAACAGGTGCAAAGCTGCCTATGACTGGCTCTGCTCTGACTGTGCAGCATATTATTTCTCAAAGCAACAAAGGCCGGTGCTTATCCAACCACTGTTCTGTTGAAACTGGACTGCAGCAAGCAAGGTTACCCATTTACCAGGGGGGCTAGGTCAGGGGAGCCATTGGAGACAGGGATTGCTGACAGAGGCATGGCACCAGAGCAAAAATTCAGCAGAGCAGGCAAGGTGGAGGTTGCAGGGGGTGATTGCAATGCTCCCTGTGCGGGGCAGACCTGAAGTGGGAGTGAATGTGAAAGATGCAGTGGAAGGGGGTTCCACAGAGCCTGCCTTGTGTGTTGTGGATGGAAGTGTAGCCAGGGGACCTGAAGAAGGACTACGTTGGCTGTGGGTATGGAAGTCTGGAGGAAGACCCGGAGTGATGTGAAACTGAAAGAAGACAAGAAGGAGAGAGTTTGAACAATGTAGAGTGGGCCCGGCTAAGGACAGATTCAAGCTTGAAAACAAGCTAGTGAGGGGCACCTGGGTGGCTTAGTTAGTTAGGTGTCTGCCATTGGCTGAGGCCATGGTCCTAGATTCCCAAGATCAAGCCACATATTATTGGGCTCCCTACTCAGCAGGGAGCCTGCTTCTACTTCTCCCTCTGCTGCTCTGCCTGCTAGTACTTCTCTCTTTCATAAATAAATAAATAAATAAATAAATAAATAAATAAATAAATAAATAAAATCTTTAAGAGAAAGCAAGAAAAGTAAGTAAAAGAAAGGAAGAAAAATAAAAGAAAGAAAAGGAGCTAGTGAAAGAAACTGACACCATCTCAGAGGGTCAGCACTGTGTAGGACACCCAAATCCAGGAGAAGCCCATGCTACAGGGACACCCAAGAAGAGGGTGCCCAAGAAAACTGGATTAGACTTGGAAATTAGGAGATCTTTGGGAGAATTCCGTGAGAATTATTTCAACAGTGGGGAGTACAAGCCACATTGCCCCTCCTTGGGGACATCTATTCCAATTAGCTGATACAGGAATACAAAGGCACATCCCCTTGCTTTCAGACCAGGAGACCCTGAAGGGTTATCCCAGCTCCAGGGCTTCCCAAGGGATCAACTGAGGCCTCCGTGAAAACTGCACATCAGTTCAAGTTCACTCTCTGTCCAGTCCCACTTTCTCACTTGCTTATAGGTATTGCTCCTAAGACTACTTATAGCAGACCTCCTACCCACAGATCTCCATCTCCATGGAGAGTCCGTTTTCCAGAAATCCAACCTGAGATGTGGGGTCAGTGAGAAAGGGAGAGTGAAGTGGAGAGGATGAAGACAGAGGGCATGAACATCTGGCCCCAGCAGTAGGGAGACAGAACAAAGTGGCAGGAGAGAGGCCTGAGTTGGCACAGATCATGATGGCCTCTCCCTTGGACCTTCTTCCAAGACTCTAATGAAATAGACCTCTCGTGAAGACCTTGAACTCTAATGGAGTCGTTTCAAGAGATAGAGGTCATCGGGAAAAGTCAGAGAAGATGGTGTTAAAGGAAAAGACAGAAATGGAGAGGGAGAGGAGAGTTCTTCATGGTAGAAATGGTTTTTCCAAAGCGGGGCAGAGGGGCAAAGGAGGAACAGGCCTGAGGAGAGAGAACGCTGTCGGTAGGGTAAGGATGAGGGAAAGTGCATGTTCACGATGTTAGTAACATTAAACCAGTAATTCAGAAAGAGAGAGTTGGAAAGTATTCTGGAGGGACCTTGTAGCAATATGAGTGGGCAAGTGATAAATGAGCCTCTGCAGGATATCCCCTCTCCAGCACTGTTCCCAGGAACATTAAACATCTAGAGCAGAGAACCAATAGAAATAGGATATGTCATTTAAAATTTCCCAGTAGCCACATTTAAAAATGTAAAAAGAAGAATCAGGTGAAATTAATTTTAATGATATAATTTTATTGCACACAGTATATCTAAAGTATGTATGTTCATTTCAACATGCACCAGTATCAAAATTATTAATGAGATATTGTCCTTTTCCTTCCTGCTAAGTCTTCCAACTCTGATGTGTATTTCATACTCAGAGCACATCTGAGTTTAGATACTACATTTTCTTTTTTTAAAATATATTTTATTATTTTTTAAAAGATTTTTTTATTTATTTACTCATGAGAGACACAGAGAGAGAGAGACACAGGCAGAGGGAGAAGCAGGTTCCATGCACCGAGCCCAATGTGGGACTCCATCCCAGGTCTCAAGGATCACGCCCTGGACAGAAGGCAGTGCTAAACCGCTGAGCCACCCGGGCTGCCCTAGATACTACATTTTCATTGGAAATACTTGATCTGGGGTAGCCCTGGTGGCGCAGCGGTTTAGCGCCGCCTGCAGCCCAGGGCGTGATCCTGGAGACCTGGAATCAAGTCCCATGTCAGGCTCTCTGCATGGGGCCTGCTTCTCCCTCTGCCTGTGTCTCTGCCTCTCTCTCTCTGTGTCTCTATGAATAAATAAATTTAAAAAAAATTCTTAAAAAAAGAACTCTGAAAAGCAATAACTCTAAAAAAAAGGAAATACTTGATCTGTATTTAGATTTCATAATGTTTATTGTTGAAGAAGTAGAGTTACAAATCTCAGTTGCTTCAAACATACTTATGCTTTCCAGTAACCAAATCAAATGGTCAGTTTTTAAATTTAAGTTTATATTAAAATTCATTGAAATTAAAAAATATAGTCCTTCTGCTGCACATAGCACATCCCTAGTACTGAATAGTTGCATGTGGCCAGTGGCTACCACTCCAGACCACACAGGTCTATAATATGAACTCCTGGACTTGTGGGTTTTGTTTTGTTTTATCCTCACCTTTGACAAAAGGACAGACCCTGCCCCTCCCACCACTCCACTAACAAGATCCCACTGTTCCATTTTATTTCACAGAACACACTTGAGAGAGCAGGTGAAGAATCTGTGAGGAGGGAAGAAGGGGTGTGACAGGTCAGATGAGGAGTGAAGAGAATGGGACATGAGTCAGAAGACTTCTGTTCAGTTGCTCTGTGTTCACATGACAAATGTTATCATTTCTTTGCCCAGAGATTGAACTGAGAATGCAGGAGTCAGCTCTTGTTATGGTCTTCCCCAGTGAGTGGTTTCCCCTGAGCTCCAAGCACTGGTTGAGTCACAAATGCTTGGGCATGGCTGCAAGGTCTGGGCCTCATTTTTTGCAGCTGCAAAATAGGGCAGAACATCTCTTATTTTTGGGGAAAAAAGAGAGGGATTGTGTAATCCTAAACACGAAGCTACGGAGGAAGTAGTACCAAATTTGGAGACCTGTGCTCCTCCTCCAGGCCTGCAGCATGTCCTCTGCACCTGGTGGGAGCCAGCAGGCTCTGTCTGTACTGTGGCACATTTGCCTGTCATATCTGATGGAGTGACCCAACATGGAAAACTGGAGTAGAGAGGTTGTAGAAACTCTCTACGAGATGTAAAAATCATATGAATAACACTTAGACTCCCTTTGCTCTAAAATGGGCTGTATCTATTGCTTGGAGTTACAGGATAGAAGCTGTGGGATGTGCATGCTGGCACATCTATATCCATTCCTAGAAATTGAATTTCTGTAGCTATTCCTAGAAATAGAGTCACGGAAAATACCTTTGTTTGTGTATGAATGGTTACATGTATGAATTCACACATACTCACACACACATTGCACTGAAGAGTCTGACCTGATATTATTGGTGTCCTCAGGATGTATGGACACATTAGCTTAGCTTAGCATTCAGATTGTACCATCACAGGACAGGCAGCATAAAACTTGAATTTCTCCATCCCCTGAGCACAAGCCTGTCTTTCAGAACAATTTCCAGTCACTACCTAGGAAGGTTGCAAGGAAATGAAGGAGCCCTTCATGATCTCTCCTCCTGCCTCCCTGGCATTCCTGCTTGATGAAGGTGCCATGCTGCTGTGGCCCTGAAAAAAAATCTTTGTACAGATCCCGAGCCATTCCCAAGAAAACAACTATGTTCCTGGAGGTAGAAAAACTCAGGTATAAGTCATGCCCCTCTGCATACGCATCATACAGTGTGTCTGACTCAGCCTGTTTTCCCTTTTAATCTTTAAAGTGGGAGAAACTCTTCCCAAGAGTCTTACTGCCCTCTAAGAGAGTGGAAACTGGCCTTGGTTTCATTATCTGTGTGAAAAATACAGCTACATTGCATCTGGGCAGCACCTTTCCTCTTCCAGAAGGACTGGCAAATGATCAGATGTTAAATATTGATCAGTTTCAATTAGCTTGAATTCAGCCTGCATTTGATTATGAACTTGATGACTTTGTCTACTTCTTTCTGGAATGATATCTGGTGTTTAATAGGAGGTGGAAAAGAAATGATTGTGGTATCAAACTGTACCA